CATATGTTTTTTCTAATAGACCGTAAATGTGCGGCCGCTCGGCGTCTATGCCCAGACAGCGGGAGGCCGCACATTTGCGTTTGGCCGGCGCCAAGAGGTTAACATGACAAACACTAACACATTATGAGCTTAAAAGCCACCCTCCGGGACGTTGGTAAATTTACCCATGCAGTATGTGGGGATGGCGAGGCATTAAATGCTTGTTTGGCTAATGGGGAAGGAACACATTGAAATACATAAAGTGCTACTAAACCCATGAGCCTGCATTCACTCTGTTTGGTCTCCCACAGTACACAGAACATGGAAGTGCAATTATTTTCGTAAATATAAACTGCTAAATACCTTTTCTCATCAGCAGTTAGAGCAGTCTTGTGATTTCAGCAGACCACTGGTTAAAGCTTGTAGGAGGAGTTTTCTTTGTGATCTAGGAGGATGCAAAACCCCTGACCTCTATCTGGACAGTGCTGATTGACCCTGTGCTGATCTCATGTACTCTCCCAAGAAAAAAAAAACCTCTCTAGCAATACACACTAAACTGAGCATGTGCATGTGGCTACTTGTCCAGTCTGTCTTATCAGGTGGATATTTGAACAAGAGGAGGAGCAGAAAAAACAGGATCAAATGACCTCTTTACACAATGTAGAGGATTAACCCCTTAGGTTCCACAGTGAGTATAACAAGCATGCTTTACTGCATCTACAGGCTGATTTTACTGTTGCAGGTTTAGTAACACTTTAAAGTGGTAGTAAAGTCCCTATGTTAACCCACATGGAAGATAAATATATTTTGAATACATTTAGAAAAAAAATTACCGTATTTTCCGGCTTATAAGACAACTTTTTTTACTTAAAAACATACCCCAACAATTGGGGGTCGTGTTATACGCCGGGTATAGAATGCTGGATGTACGGTAATACTGTATGGTAGCTTCAGCTACATACAGTGTACCGTGCTGAGCCAATCACGGCGAGCAATGTATTCTATTAATGAATACGAAGCCTGCTCGGATTGGCTGAAGTTGTGACATCATCAGCCCGCCTCTCTGACACAGCCAATCCGAGCAGGCTCTGTATTCATTAAAAGAATACATCACTTGCTGTGATTGGCTCATATGATGTCCTCCCATTCTCCGCGCATGCGCGGCGATGCACTGTGTCCCTCGGACACAGCGATCAACGATCACGGAAAGAGCCGAAGATGTCGGCTCGGTCATGTGATCAGCTGTGTCCAATCACAGCTGATCACAGGTAAATAGGGAAATGCCGGTTATCGGCATTTCTCTCCTCTCGAGCTGTCACGCTGACAGCTCGAGAGGAGAGGAGAGCCGGTAATCGGCTTTCCCGCGGAGGGGACATGTACACTGATCATCAGGGCACTGATGATCAGTGTGCCCTGATGATCAGTGTAGCCCCAGCCCAGCTGTAGTGCCAAATCAATCAGTGCCTACCAGTGCACATCAATACCACATATCAGTGCCCATCTGAGCTGCCTTTCAGTGTCACCCATCAGTGCCAGTCAGTGCCACCTATCAGTGCTGCCAATCAGTGCCAGTCAGTGCTGCCTATCAGTGCCATGCATCAGTGCTGCCTTTCAGTGCCCATCAGTGATGCCTGTCAATGCCCATCAGTGCTGCCAATCAGTGCCACCTATCAGTGCCAGTCAGTGCCCCCTATCAGTGTGCATCAGTGCCGCCTATCAGTGCCAGTCAGTGCCACCTATCAGTGCGCATCAGTGCCGCCTATCAGTGCCAGTCAGTGCCACCTAACAGTGCCAGTCAGTGCCGCCTATCAGTGCCATGTATCAGTGCTGCCTTTCAGTGCCCATCAGTGATGCCTGTCAATGCCCATCAGTGCCACCTACCAGTGCCTCCTCATCAGTGCCCATCAGTGCCACCTATTTCATATGGGTACAATGTTGCATGACCGCGCAATTGTCATTCAAAGTGTGACAGCGCTGAAAGCTGAAAATTGGCCTGGGGGGAAGTGGGTATAAGTGCCCTGTAGGCTAGGGGTTAAATGGTGTTGCCTCAGAAGGGGGGTAGTCTTATACGACGAGTATAGCCCAAAACCTATGTTTTAACTGGAAAATTAGGGGGTCGTCTTATACACCCAGTTGCCTTATACGCCGGAAAATGCGGTATATATGTGACATATATTTACAATATATTGGCCTATGCTAATATATTATAACATGTATTCTAAAAAAAAGTAAATTGAAATATATTTTCTAAAGGCATATATTTAAAAATATATTTTTTTAAAATATATTCTTCACATTTTTTTAACATATAAAAAAGTCATTTTCACATATATTTTTACATATATTTATAAATGCATTCCAAAAATGTAGATTAAATGTGTTTTCAAAGACATATATTTGAAAATGTATTTTTTAAAAATATTTTTCAGGTATTTTTCAATATATAAAAAATGCATTTCAACATACAGTATGTATATATATATATATATATATATATATATATATATATGTTATATATATATATATATTGAAATTGTAGTATTTCAAATATATGGCAATATATGTGGGAATAATATTTTTTCAATATATTTTCCTTCCACGTGGGAACTTGTACCTACAGGTAAGCTTACAATCATGCTTTCCTGTAGATACAATGAATATCTTCTAAATGTGCTCCATTTAGGAGATATTCATATCTGTACTAGCCGGTGACGTCAGCCGTGCATGTGCAGTGACGCTCTGTATTCAGGGCACACAGTGCCGTGCCATGCCATGTATACTGTGGGATGCAAAATGCCTTGATGTCATTGCAGCCCCGGCCGTTCAAACAGCTGGACCCTGAGAATATGAAAGTAAGACCAGGAGAAGATGGAAGTGCAGTGGGAGCAGTGACAGCACTGCGCTGGAGGGCTCCATTTGCATGTAAGTCTGTCATCATGTGCTAGTATGCAGGGCAAATTACAGGATGAACCTGCAGAGGACCCACATTTTTTTTTGTAACTTTTTTTTTTTTTTTTTTTACTACTGCTTTAAATCATTCCTCACTCATTCCTGCAGGCTTCCTTATCTCTGTATCAATAGTCTCCCGGCCTGAAGCATTTAACTCATGCAAGTTGGTTGGACCAAATTTAACAGCAGCCCGGAGTGGGGTTTAATGGGTCCTAAAATCTATACAATTATGAACACTGGTGTTTCATAAAAAGCATTATGAATGTTCTGCCAATGTACACTAATAGTTCAGTTAAAGCGGAGTTCCACCTGAAAAAAATAAAAGTCAGTGCCAAAAAAACTGTAGCTGCTGACTTTTAAAATACAGAAACTTGCCTGTCCCTGGGTCCAGCAATGTCCTCACCACGGCTGATTTCACTGGCCGTCTTCTCTCCCCGGTGCCGGCATCTTCAGTGTGGGCACCCGGCTGTGACAGCTTGCGACTTCGTGAGAAGCGCTGCGCTTTGTGAATTGTCCCATAGTCTTCTGGGACCTGTCACGTGTCCCAGAAAAGTACGGGGAGGGAGGTGGGGGAGGACAACTTCCTCTTCCGATCGCCCAGGCGATTGCAGCGGAAGTGGGAGCGGGTACCTGTCAAATTCGGGTACCCACTCCCCAAAGGTGCCAATCCTTAATGGGGAGCGGGGGACAAAGGCTCAAAGCAGAACTTCCCCTTTTGGATGGAACTCCGCTTTAAATACAATGACCCCTTTTTTTCGCAGTGCAGGAACAAAGTACAATGCACAGTTTGTGTGTTGCGGTGCACTGTGGTGCATTATGTCTTTGCAGCTACTGTACAGAGGGTTGTGTTCCCATTAACAAATAATGGCATTGCAAAATTAGGCCCATATGTTTGGGTAACGCCCAGTAAAATGTGTGTTTTAACCTCCTAGCGGTATGATTATTTCAGATTTTTGGTGCTGAAAGCGGTACCATTATTTTGCATGGAAATAAGTAGTTTTTTTTATTGTAGGGCTGTAATTTTTAGGAATAACTCACTGAAATCTGTCCGAACAAGAGCCTATTAAACATGATAAAATTTGAAACACTAAATCATAAATTATAATTTAATAAATAATCATAAAAAATAATAATATTATAATAATACATTTAATTCAATAATATAATCAAACCGAAAACACTGAAATTTGAAAATATAGCGCCAAGTTCACACATCGCTGAGCAAAGTCGCAAAATCGTTTTCAGTGTCTGATGACGAATTTCCCCCACAAATCATTATCACTCAATTCTGCAAGTGGTTCTGATTTACTATCGCTGTTCTCTAGCTGATCTAAACCCGCTTTTGACCTAAAGGGACACTTTTTGGACACCATGGACGTTTCTCAGTTTCCAGGCAGAAAGAACAGACAAAACGTAGGCAGGGCACAGGACAAAGCACTCGGGACAAAATGTATATGAAATGGGTTGAAACAGTAATGCTTTACTATGAAAAATGTGTTTTGAAAAAAATGAAATTTTTTTAAATTTTCAAATTTCCCACCGCCGGCAGCGCCCGTACGTCCGACGTCACAGGGACCGGAGCACAGAAGCCGGATGCCGGCATCGGCCGGAGGAGATGGCCAGGGATGCTGCAGGGGACACATCGCGGGAGCGAAGGACAAGGTAAGCTCTGCAGGGACTCCCTATGCAACGCTGCATGGTAAGCCCAAGTGTAGCTCGGGGTTACCGCTTTTGGCACCGACATTTTACCCCGAGCTACACTTGGGAATACCGTTAGGGAGGTTAACATACCATTACTGCAAACAAGTAGCTGTAAATGAGGCGTAGAGCAGGGGTGGACTGACAACTCATGGAGCCCCCGGGCAATAGGGGATCATGGGGCCCCTGTGTCCTCGCCTACACTCAAACCACACCCAAAAAAGCCTATGAAAGGTACCAGAGACATCTCATGGGGCCCCCTACTGACCCCAGGCCCTCGGGCAGTGCTCGAGTTCCCCAATGGTCAGTCCACCCCTGGCGTAGAGGATGTCATCTCAATTTGTTGGTACACAACAAATATCTTTTTTTATTATTTTTGAAGATTTACTAGAATGTGTCTAGATTTTTTCTTCATTTTTTAATATATCGCTAGTTTGTTTTTCATAGGTTGTAGATTATTTGTGTGCTTTTTATTCCCAGCGTACTTATGTCTGTATTTTGCTCTCTTAATCGTTTATTTAAACTGAACTAGCCATATATTGTAATAGTTTGCAATGACTCTATATTTGTCCCCCCCCACCTTTTGTCTACGTGCTATTCCCTTTATCATCCTCACCTTTCAATCTCTCCTTCCAAACTTCTACTGCTGTGATCTTCGTGAGGTGTGAATAGTACTATCAACACTATTCATAACTATAATTTTGCACAGTTCCCATGTTAAATGTTGATGCCAGCAGGGTTTTGTGAAAGGGAAAAATAACTAAAAAACCACAGGTGGCTAGATTACACTGAGACAATTTCTCTGCGACTGGCTCAACATGCATAGATGTTGCACAGATTCCTCCATTTGCCATCCAAGACAACTTTTATTAGAAAACATACATTTAGCTACACATTTATCGACACTATTGACAAAACATATATACTTAGCTAGCTTAGTTTATGGACTAATACCCTTTGTATGAGCATTATTCAGTGCATTCTGCAGGGGCATTGATTATCACATCTGCACAGTAAGATTTTTGCTCTCAATGATGAGGGCACTGTCAATACACATTCATAGGTCACCATTAACTGGATGCTCACTGAACATTCCTGTTGTTTTTCAAATCCTGCTTGGTGGCTAATCTTCAAGTGGTCCTAAAGCCAGGACATTTTTTACCCTAGTGATTGTATACCCCCCCCCCCCCCTTATACTTACCTGAGTCCTCACGCAATCCAGCGTTGTGCCGTTTCTTGCGACTCTTTTCTCTCTCACTGCTTTCATAGGACAGAGGGGCAGCAGCAGGAGCCATTGGCTCCTACTGCTGTCAATCAAATTCTGTGAGCAGAAAGCGGGGGGTTGAGGCTGAGCCATGCTGTGTGTGTCTATGGATGCACAAAGCCCGGCTCGAGAGTGAGCCCACACATTCACCCAACATAGAAAGTGGCATCCTATAGTGGTGCAATGAGAAAAGGAGAAGATAAGAGTGGGGGACCCAGAAGAAGAAGAGGTTTGGACCACTCTGTGCAATATCATTACACAGAACAGGTAAGTAAAACATGTTTGTTATTTAACCCCTTGGCGCCGGCGCCTCCTGGCTCTTTAAGGGTTTCAGAAGCGGGAGGCGGGGCGGATTTTAAGGTCATCGTCCCGGTGGTCACATGATTGGTAAAGGTCCCGATCGAAAGAGGAGATCGGGACCTTTCCGTGAGTACTGGACATCTGTGTTGGGAGCGCGCAGGGCGTGCACTCTCAGCACATATGTTTTTTTTAATAGAACTCAAATGAGAGGCGTCTAGGCTGAAGGTAAAGAGGTTAAAAAAATATATTAGCTTTTACTATCCCTTTTTTGACAAAGCTTTTTTTCTATCATTTAGGAAAAGCGGATATGGATAAATTGCTAAATTGACTTATTTGCGGTTTCTTAAGCGTTTTGATACCACTTTTTATCTAATTTTCTATGAAGCTAAAAGTGGGGATGAGATTCACATTTAGGTCATTGTAGAGTTAAACCCAACCTATACATGTCCACAGTTCACCAAATGAGTGAATTAAATGGTCAGACA